CAAAACGAGTTGGCCGTAAGGCTAACTAGAACCCCACCAAGAAGCATAGATCAACACTGGACAACCATTGAAAGCGCAATGCACTCAGCTGGTTTACACAGTTGTGGCCTGACCCGTCGAGTTGTGAAACACCGGGTCTCCTCCAACTCTCTCAAACTTCTTGATGCGCGGCGGGTTTTCCCAACAGACAGTGAGTATAGTGAACTGCGCCTCTCCACAAAGCGTGAACTCACAAAGGGTTTGAGACACAACCGGGAAGCCTAGTGGACGCTACGTGCAAAGGAGATGGAACCAGCAACGAGGTGTAAAAACACCCAGTAACTGTTCCAACTCATCCGCGCTACGGACCCCAAAAGAAAGTGAGTTAGTGAAACAATCTGCGAAATAGACAGCACATTATTATGCCTCTTCACCGACGCTTGGAACAGAGCACTTCACATCGCAGTTTAACCACCCACCCACCCCCGCGTTGGCTGCCTCAAAGTAGTTCTCTTAAAATTGCACCCTGGTCGCTATCCACGGGACCGCCCACAGAAGCAGAGATCCGAAAGGAAATCCAAGCCCTGAAACACCACAAGGCAGCTGGATCAGAGAGTCTGTCACCGGACCACTTTAAAGATTGTAGAGAAGCTCTCGTGAGAGCTTGAGACTGTTCTCGAAGATCTGGGAAACCGAAAGTGTAGCCCACACATGAGGAGAATCGATTGTTACACCCGTATACAATGCTGTTGCAATGCCTGTTTCAACCACAGGGGAATGAGTCGGATTACAAAAGCGCCAAAGCTGCTAGCGTCCGTTTTATTATGCAGACTAAACCCAATTCGCGAAAGGCAAATCCGCGAGGAGTAGGCCGGGTTTCGTGCAAACCGTGGTTGCATAGATCAACTCTACACCCTTCGTCAGCTACCAGAACACCGCCACACACACAGACAACAACCCATAGTCGTGTTTTTGGACATCGGAGCGGTCTTCGACTACACTGATCACCGCGCACTGTGGAACTGTTTGCGGAGATAAGGAGTACCCCAGAAGTATGTTCGGCTCCTAAAAGTACTCTACCGCCAGACCTCGAGGAAGGTCAGAGCCTATGACGAACTTTCATCCCCATTTCCTGTCACCAGTGGGACACGACGTAGATGATGTTCCACAAAAGTTTTACTTAAAGTAACGAACGCTGGCGTCGAGCTTATAATTGGAGATGGAGTCTTAGACTCAGAGTATGCTGATAATATTGCCCTCATCGACGACAAGGCACCGACGATTCAAGACTCGTTGAATCGTTTGGCAATTGAGGTTACTCGTTATGGTATGTCCTTTGCACCTTCAAAGTGCGAGGTGTTGTTGCAAGATTGGCAGGACATAGCACCGAACCGAAGTCACTGATGCGAATACATTATTTTCTTTGCAGTAAACCAACAAAACATTTGTTATTCCTAAACTTGACGTTTTTTGTTTTTCCCCTTTGTTTCTATATCTTGCATTAAACCCATGGTTATTTTGACGCCGTAAAGATTGATGTTATATACAAGCATATATATCTACATATGCTTTTTTCATGATACTTTCGTGTGATGAACAGCAGATGGGGTAAATACCATAGTCACGAAGACCTGCCGTTCTGTGATGAAAACCGGGACTTTGAGTGGTGAGCCACATGAGGCCCCGATAGGTTAGACGTGCATGAGTACAGTGGGATTGAATCAGTCGAGAGCTGCCCTTAAAAAACACATGAAAACAGAAATGGCGAAGCTATCGAACAAATATCGGCGTTCCAGAATTTGACGAATGGTAAGGTACGGTCGATGCAGCCTCGATCATGTCTTAAGGAGCCTGGTTTCTGTGCACGCATCTTTTTTGCGGCAGACACTTGACGAGGTATGATGATAGCAAGAAGCTTAGAGACGACGTTCATTAAACTCTACTGTCCCTATTGTCCCTTACCTCGCCAGATTTCTCACAAACCATGAACTCTGCAGAAAATCTGCTCAAATTGTCAACCTAAACCAATGCGTGTTGCATAGCAAATCAAGGAAACTATGCAAATATCAATAAAAACAACGTCGGGCCCTGGCACAGGCTCAAAAACTCGGGTCGATGGATATCGTCAACCTCGGATGCCCTGCTGAACGCCCGCAGAAACATTCCGACTAATGCCACATGTGACAGCGCACAAAACCCTCAAACGCCAGCTTATCAAGAGTCTGAGGAATGACCGCGAGAAGTAGTAGATAGGAAAGCGTAGAGAGATGGAGAAAGCTGCGGCTATTGGTATCTGATGCAATCTTTCCGTCCATTTAGGAATACGGGAGCCAGGAAAACAGGTATAAGCTAATAAAGGAATCCGATGGAACACTTATTCACCATCAGCAACGCCGTCTTGATCGATGGGCTGGACATTTCGAGGCTCAACTCAACTGGACCTCATCGACATCTGAGCCAACACCCCCCCCTCCCCATCTCGACTGGGCAGATACTCCCGGTTGATGACAGTCCTCCATTTGAAATGGAGGTTACCCGGGAAGTGAATTATCTCAAAAGACCTCCGGCTCGGATGGGCTGTCCCCATCGGTTTTTAAGGATGGAGGCTGTCTTGGTTTTGGAGTTAACGAAACTCCTGGGCTTAGTGTGGGAGTGAGAACAGGTTCCAACTGAATGGTGTGAATCGATGATCATATCAATTTACAGGAAAGGTGACAGGTCCTCAGAGGAATTAGTTTAATCATTATTGCTTCTAAACTGCTCGTTGACATCCATACTCTGTCGAGTGTCTGCCGCAGAAGAGTGCAAGCGTGAGAACAAGGCTGGTTTTAGACTTGGTCGAGGTTGTATTGACCACATCTTCACTCTTCGTCAAAATCTGGAGCACCGACATTCTTTTCGTAGACCCATAATCTCTGTCTTCCTCAATCTTTATATTAATAACCGAAGACGAGTGCGAGTTCACCCGGTGTTCGACAGGGTAGCCCTCTCTTTCTATCTTTCTATTGAACTTTGTTACAGATTTACTTCTTAAGGCAGCCTTATCCTCGTGCGAAGATAGTAGTATCGATTTACTCCCAGGTGGAACACTGTTTAATCTCAAATATGCAGACGACATTGTGCTGCTAAGTGAAGATCCAGGTAAGTCGCAAGCCTTCTTGGATGGCTTAAGTGCCAGAGGTAAGAGTTTTGCGCCTTCAAAGTGTAAAATGTTACTAGAAGAGTATGTTGGTCCAGCACCCAGACTCATTGTAACTGGGGAAGCAATAGAGCAAGTGGATAAGTTTTGTTATTTGGGCAGCTACATCTCACCCGGTGGACGCAGCACGGATGAAGTATCGACTCGCAAACAGAAGGTCCGTTTGGCATTGGGGAACTTGAGACATCTGTGGCGCCGTCGCGACATCCGGCTGTCTGCGAAGAGTCGAGTGCATGCTGCGGTAGTTCGGCCACTTCTGCTATACGGCACAGAAGTTTGACAGTTGATAAAACAGAATAAAGATAGACTACCGGTATTTGAACACCGCTGTCTACGCAGCATTGCACGAATGTGATGAGGTAGCCGAAGCAGCAATGCTGAGGTCAGGCGCAGAGTAATAGGTAACTGCGGTCGCCCACTGGAGCAAGTGGTCAACCTCCGCAGATTACGTTGGTCGGGACATGCGTTACGCATGTCACCAAATAGTTTGCCACGGCGAGCGATGTTCGCTGAGGCAGGTAATGGGTGGAAGAAAGCCAAGGATGACCAAGCTAAGGCCTGTTATGAGGGTATGAAAACCCTAATCACGAGTCTGGGTCACATAGGTCCCGTAAGGCTCCCTGGATGGGAAACTCCAGATCAGTGTAATCAATGGTTAGAGACATTGAGTTATAAGGCTGGGAGTCATAAACAGTGGTGTTCGTGCATCTTCTCAATTTCTTTGCTACATTAGTTCACTGAAATTCTCAATTTTCTCTTCGATTTACCTTTCAACCTTCCTGTTCATCCAAATGGGCAGCTAAAATACAGCGACCAAAACCGGCGCACGATAGTGCGTGGTTAATGTTTGTACAAACTGAAACTGAAACTGATAAACACCATGGTATGCCATTGTTTTTGTGATGTTGCTGCAGATTTCACTTCTTTAATTGCTGTATTGTACGAACCATTTTCTGTTGTTGTCACATTATGGTCATGTGGTTTGCAAAGTACCCACACTTCGGGGTGTATAAAGCGATTCCTCGACTTGACTTGGAAAATGGGTGGGAAACCAGATGAACAGAAACTGCAGGATACTGCTTGGGAAGGTGAGGACAATGTCCGGCTTCTGAAAGGAGCAGTTGCTATTAGTGCTGATATACGCTTGGTAAGGCATTTCGGAGCCCACGGTGTTGTTGTTGAGCCCTTCATGCGTGCTTGTATGGAATTTCGACGGTGAGCGGCATGAGCATGGAAAGCCAACTCCTTTTTACAAACAGTACCAAAACCGGTGCGTGTGGTTGAACCATTTAACAAAAGGTAATTTGATAGGCTTGAAGAAACTTCGAATAACAATTTGGTACTTTGTAAATTAAACTTGTATAATCTAAAAACTGAGACGGGGACACTGATTGAATAGCAATAGTCCAAGAGTAATAGGCCAGAAAATAACCAAATGCATACAAATTAGCGAATCCATATGGTCGCTGTGTCTAGAGTTAGGAAGAAGAGTGAATCGGGTAAATTTAGTCGACAATAAAATCATATAGTGGTCGAATCAACTATGTGAATGGAATGTGATAATTTCGGAAACCCAATGTAGATGAGATGTGATGATAAGATTAATGGTAGAGCGTAATCAGTTGAACGGTTAGGGAATACTGAGAAAGGCGAATTGCTTAGCTTCACGACTACCAAGCGTGAAAACAATTATCCATTGCCCAAAGGATGAACTGAGAAAGCGGTGTGCAGGTACAGAAGTAGTGATTAAAAGAAGAAAACATTGCATGGAACACGGTTGGTGAGATTTAAGCGACAGAGAGAGAAGGGAGGAGGGACGCGATCGAGGGGTGAATAAATAAGCACACACACCAGCTTTAGAAAACCAGGGTGCGCAGAAACTGCTTGTTGTTCGTAGTAGAAGGACCGAAATAC